AAAACCAACCTTTAAAACTTTGGCATAGACACTGAGAACTGGGAAGCCCTGGCCCTTGAGCACTCCAGCTGGAGGTCAGCTGTGACCAGTAGTGCTGTAGAATTTGAAGAGGCACGACTGGAGGGTGAAAGAGAGAAATGTGCCAAGAGGAAGGTGCGTCAAGCCAACCCTGACTGGGTCCACCTTCCACCTGGAAACCAATGCCCTCACTGCGGAGAAGATGCAGGTCAAGAATAGGGCTCCATAGTCACCTATGGACCCATCCTGGAGGATTATCCTACTCGGACAATGAGGGATCGCCTAAGTAAGTAAAGTAAAGTAAAGTATGAATTGGATTCCTTTTTAAAGAAAGAAACTCCTGTTTTATGAATGGCTCAGTGCTTCAATGAGCTTTGCATCATCTTACACAAACTCTGGGTGACCAAGATGAATCTCATGCTGGCTCAGGGGGGTGGGAACTTTTGAATCTGACAGCCCTATAAATATTGTTTTTCTCTGGCCAGCCAGCATGTCGGCTCCTTGGGCAGATAACTGCGGTTGTCATCAGTTCCAGCTAGAATGAAATAAACCTCGGTGGCTTTTGCTTCAACTTGGTGAGACTTAAGGGAAAAATCTTTCTTGGTGCTTGCTGTCTCGCAGGTGTCCCGGATCCTCTTTTTGAGTCTGGCCAGTCTCTGCCTAGGCAGGGCCTCCCAAATTTGTGTTCGACATCACTGTAAACCTGAAAGCAGAGAAATTAGCAAATCTAATCAATAATTTGTAATCTGCTCTGAGAACCTTTGTAGCTGAAGAGCGTAAATAATCTAAATCAATTACACAAATTAAGTAAATAGCATAGCAGCCACTGTCTATGGCTGAAAGATTTCTATGGTGCAGGAAGCAGTGAATACTATTGGTTGAATCAGTTGGCATAGTAGAGGTTAAATGGCTACCGTTTGCTTGTAGGCACCAGCTTTGTTTCTGTTTTATTATTATTATTATTATTCCAGCTCCTGATCGAATTACTCATTGTACTGAGTGGAGTTATCAAAGGAGATCTTTGTATTTGCCTCTTGCAAAGGCTCTGCCTCATGGCTGTGATATTGTTTCAAGGAGAAAGTGCCTGGTTTGTTTAGCACCATCTTCAGACGAATGCTGGGGGACAGGAAGGAGTCCAATGAGTCACCATGAAGCGATAAACAAAGAAGTCACCCTTTGACTCCTGGGAGCTTTTGAGAACACCAACCTTTCTATGTTGCAGGCATTACACAATGGCTGGGATCCTACATCAAGGAGATGAAGCGTAGCTTTGTGCTCACATTTACGTAACACCGCCTTGTTAGTGAATTGGGACATTAATTTTTCATCTTTGGTTTTATCAAGGCTTTGTTTGAAGTTTGATTTAGTTATGTGAATAGTTCAATAAGGTATTTTCTGTATTTTTTATGTACATCTTCTAAGTGCTTCCGCATTCACAGGTTGCAGCCAGATGTGCATGCACACTGCATATCTGCATGGCCAGTGCACACCTTCATGTGTGCACAAGGCACAACTTCATGCATAGTAGCATCACATCTGTGGCTCGATTTCTGCAATCCTGAACTCCGTGCATTTGTATCAGATAAAATAGTTCAATGAGGTATTGGTGGTGGCACAGCAGGTTAAACCGCTGAGCTGTTGAACTTGCTTCTAGGTTGCAGCCATTCTGTTCTCCTTCCACTGGCATTTCCTCCTAAAGAGCCATTTTCTGATTATTTTCAGAAAAGTCTTTTTAATTGTTATGCCATATTTTAATATTTATGTTTATATTTTGAAATGATTTTAACGCTTTTGGGAGAGTGAGCTCCCACTGTTAACGCCAGATTCTGCCAGCCTAGCAGTTCAAAAACATGCAAATGTGAGTAGATCAATAGGTACCACTTCTTTGGGAAGGTAATGGTGTTCCATGCAGTCATGATGGCCACATGACCTTGAAGGTGTCTATGGACATCTCCCGCTCCGGCGGGAAGGTAATGGCGCTCCATGTAGTCATGTCGGCCACATGACCTTGGAGGTGTCTATGGACACCTCCTGTTCCGACGGGAAGGTAATGGCGCTCCATGCAGTCATGTCGGCCACATGACCTTGAAGGTGTCTATGGACACCTCCTGCTCCGGAGGGGAGGTAACAGCGCTCCATGCAGTCATGTCGGCCACATGACCTTGAAGGTGTCTATGGACACCTCCTGCTCCGGCAGGAAGGTAATGGCGCTCCATGCAGTCATGTCGGCCACATGACCTTGAAGGTGTCTAGGGACACCTCCCGCTCCAGAGGGAAGGTAACGGCGCTCCATGCAGTCATGTTGGTCACATGACCTTGGAGGTGTCTACGGACAATGCCGGCTCTTCGGCTTAGAAATGGAGATGAGTACCACACCCCAGAGTCGAACACGATTGGGCTTCATGTCAGGGGAAAACCTTTACCCTTACCTATGGGCAACCCTGGCTCTTTGACTTAGAAATAGAGATGAGCACTACGCCCCAGAGTTGAACACGAATAGACTTATTGTCAGGAGCAATCTTTAGCTTTATGGGGACTTTATTTCACAAGAGATGCAAACTGTCATTGTAGCAGAATGGCATGTGCATCCTACATTAAATCTGCCTCTTCCCTGCAACTATCCCTTCCCCCATTATTGATGGGCAAAACTCATCAATAGCCGCCAATACTGCAATCTTAACATCACCTTCCTGGTGCAAAGGGACCATTTAACTTCTGTGTTAGGATGTTGGCACCAAAGTGATGTCAAGAGTAAGTTTTCTTCTCCTCTCTCACCTTACCCACTCTCCCTTGCAACTTCAAGGGATCTTGAAGTTCAAGGGATCTTCAAGAGCTTCAAGGGATCATTCCTACCCATCATGAGACCACTGCATTTCCACCTGCCTCTCCCATAAAACTAAAGTGGCTAGAAAATCCTGCAAATCTGTGGCTTTGTAGCTGTAAAACTAGATGAAGGGGTTTGTTGTTATAGAGGTGATTGTACCCACTATCTGCACCTGGAGGTGTGATGGTATAATCTCTTGTGGAGGTCATCTGGGGATAAGGAGCCTGCAGGCCATGCGATACCAACTGCTGTGTTGAGGTCACTTATTGAGGTCACCAATGACTGGTTTGCAGTCTTCTTTTGGAGAAGAAAGGGATAGCAGTCTCAGTCAGGCTTCAAAAAAAAGAAAGAAAATAGCTTTGGGCGAGTGCAGAGGTTGATCGGTGGTTATAAACTTCTCTTTGGGAAATGGTAAAAAATGCTATTGAAGTGCTTAAATCTTTCCTTTATGGGCTAATTCATTCTTTTATATAAAAAAGAAGTGTATCCACGTGGTGGTAGATCAGCTGCTTTGGAAAGGATTGGAGCAAATGAGAAAAATTTCAGAGGTCATGATTTGTTGCTTACCCGAGAATCACAGAATTTGAAGGGACCCCAAGGGCCATCAAGTCCAGCTCCCTTTCTGCACAGAAACCAAATCAACACTCTCCTTGATATATGTCTGTACAGTCCAGTTAATGACAGGTCTTTGGTGACTTCTCATCTTTATTTTAGACCAGGTGGCAATAGCATGTGTATGGTTGAAAAAGGATACATCATCTCGGGTAATAATAATAATAATAACAACAACAACACTTTATTTATATTCTGCCCTTCTCCCCGAGGGGTCTCTGAGCAGATTACAACATATAAACCAACACAGGCACACATCCAATGCCTTGTTACAATAGAAAATACAATGAAATAGAATATCCAGGATAGCCTGGAAGTGCCTGGAGCAATCTTTTGTTGAGAGGTGATTAGATGTCCCTAATTGTTTTCCCTCTGCTGTTTTGCTGTTTTAATTTTAGAGGTTTTTTTAATAATGTTGTTTTGGTGTTGTAATTTTAGAGTTTTTTAATACTGGTAGCCAGATTTTGTTCAATTTCATGGTCTCTTCCTTTCTGTTGAAATTGTCCACATGCTTGTGGATTTCAATGGCTTCTCTGTGTAGTCTGACATGGTGGCTGTGAGAGTGGTCCAGTATTTCTGTGTTCTCAAATAATATGCTGTGTCCAGGCTGGTTCATCAGGTGCTCTGCTATGACTGACTTCTCTGGTTGAAGTAGTCTGCAGTGCCTTTCATGTTCCTTGATTCATGTTTGGGCAATGCTGTGTTTGGTGGTCCCTATGTAGACTAAATTAAAACAGCAAAACAGCAGAGGGAAAACAATCAGGGACATCTAATCACCTCTCAGCAAAAGATTGCTCCTACCCATCACTTCCAGGCCATCAAATACTAATCAAGGTGGTCAGTTGAAACATTCACACCTAGCTCCAGCAGACAAGAGTCCTTTGTCCCAAACTGGTCTTTCCACAGATATATAAACCCATTTTCCAAGTTCCAACAGACCTCACTACCTCCAAGGATGCTTGCCATAGATGCAGGCGAAACGTCAGGAGAGAATGCCTCTAGAACATGGTTATATAGCCTGAAAAAACCTACAACAACCCAGACAGAGGGGAGTTTGATGCTGCTATAGCTATTTAATGGTAGTGCTGCTATAGCTATTTAATTGTAGTGTATAATAAGTAATTGTAGTATATCTAATGTAGTGGTCTAAATATGCTTGTTCATCTGTATTATTTTGTCTCTTTCTTGAATAAAAATTATTTTAAAAATATGTGATGAGAAAATCTATAGCAGGCATGGGCAAACTTTGGTCCTCCAGGCGTTTTGGACTTCAACTCCCACAATTCCTAACAGCCGATAGGCTGTTAGGAATTGTGGGAGTTGAAGTCCAAAACACCTGGAGGGCCAAAGTTTGCCCATGCCTGATCTATAGGAATGTATATCTATTTGGATGTTGAGAGTTACAGGAAAGAGAACTGTCTCCCTCTGCCGACTGAAAGTACACACGCTTACTATCATATTGATGATGATAATGCAAGAAAATGCATAGATATGACATGACAATGTCTTTTCCTCACCCTGTTCCTTATTTCTATGCTTATTCTAGGAGGCATGGCATCCTCTCATTTCTACGATTACAGTTCTTCCAAGACAACAGAGATGGGCAATGGCTCTTTCTATACCTCCCTGATTTCTGATGACCTCTATACATCTCCCCAAGATTCCTCTTACTTCACAGGAAACCTGTCCAAAGGAGGCAGCTATGTTAGTGCTTCGGACAGCACTGAAGGGTTCCTCTCCCAGGATGGGAATCCCTTTGAGTCCCGCGGCTTGTTTAGCTCGGATTCAGGAATAGAGATGACTCCAGCAGAATCCACCGATGTCAACAAAACCTTCGCTGACCCCATGGAGCAGATGAAATCAGAAGCTTATAAATACATGGACATGAGTCGATCAGAAGAGATTAAGTGCCAGGAGAGATATAGTACAGGTCTGGGTGATGTAGGCCCACCAGGCTTGATGGAGAAATGGCAGGATAATGCGACTGAACCTAAGGGGACATCTTCTGGAGGGAAATATGCCACCAAAGAGCCAGGTTTGGGCGAGAAGTCAACTTTTGGTGGCTATCAATACTCACCTTTAGCAATGGCACCAGTCAAGATTTCAGTGACTGAAACAGAGACCATTGAGGGGGCTGTTGCAAAAGGAAAGGCTACAGAGAAACAAGATACAGGACTCAAACCAGGACACGAAGTAGTGCCCACGGTGATGGTGTCAGAACCAGAAGATGAGAGTCCAGGCTCCATTACACCACCATCTTCAGCTACAGGTAAAAATTCAACTTGCACTTGATAGTAGATTCAAGAGTGTATATCTTTCCCATGGAGTGATATGCACAGAGATTAGTACTTGTAACATTGCTTCCGTTGGACTGGGTTGTGGCACAGCTGGTTGGGAGTCAGCTGCATTAAAATCACTACTGACTGAGAGGTTATGACAGTGGTTCTCAACCTTCCTAATGCCATGACCCCTTAGTAGAGGTCCTCATGTTGTGGTGACCCCCAACCATAACGTTATTTTTGTTGCTACTTCATAATTGTAATGTTGCTACTGTTATGAATCATAATGTAAATATCTGATATCAGGATGTATTTTCATTCACTGGACCAAATTTGGCACAAATACCCAATACGCCCACAAATTTGAAACTGGTGGGGTTGGGGGTGATTGATTTTGTCATTTTATCTGGAATTGCTGGGATTTATAGTTCACCTTAATTCAAAGAGCCTTCTGAACTCCATCAATGATGGAATTGAACAAACTTGGCACACAGAATCCCATGACCAACAGAAAATACTGGAAGGGTCTGGTGGACATTGACCTTGATTTTTGGAGTTGTAGTTCACCTATATCCAGACTGTGGACTCAAGCAATGATGGATCTGGATCAAACTTGGCACAAATACTCAATATGCACAAATGTGAACACTCGTAGAGTTTGGAGAAAATAGACCTTGCCATTTGGGAGTTGTAGTTGTTGGGATTTATAGTTTACTCACAATGAAATAGCATTCTGAACCCCACCAATGATAGAATTGGACCAAACTTTCCACACAGAACCCCCATGACCAACAGAAAATACTATGTTTTCTGATGGTCTTTGGCAACCCCGCTGACACCCCCTCACCACCCCCACAGGGTCCCGACCCCCAGGTTGAGAAACACTGGGTTATGAGTTTGAAGTCAGCCCGGGCTGGAGTAAGCTTCCAGCCATTTGTCTAGCTTGCTGTCGACCTTTGCAGCCCGAAAGACAGTTGCATCTGTCAAGTAGGAAATTTAGATACTGCTTATACGGGGAGGCTAATTTAACTAATTTATGATGCCATAAACATCTCCAGCAGCATGCAAAGAATGAGGAAGTACTCCATCGGTGTTGCAAGTGGATTGTGAAGTGACAGCTCCCCCAGTGGCTGGAATTAAAAAAGCATATCCTCATGAAGCTAGAAAGTTAAATAGCCTCTGTGTCTCTGTCTATATATGTTGTGTGTCTATGGCATTGGATGTTTGCCATGTATACTTGCATTGTGATCCGCCCTGAGTTCCCTGCAGGGTGAGAAGGGTGGAATATAAATACTGTAAATAAATAAATAATTCCATAGAGCCTATGCCCAGGTAATGATACGCATATGGCAAGCTCCCCATATCTAAGAGGGATACATTCCCATCAGTGAGATTTCAGATTATTGTGGATAGGTCACAATGCCAGGGCTCTGCCTTATTCAGGTAGAGATGAACCAAACAAACTCCCAATTTGTGTTAAAGCACTTTCTTTCTGGCTGTGTTAATAGTCCAAAACATAAAACATAAAGATAGCACTCAGCCACAGAATATAAAACAAAACTGACAGCAAATGCTGTTGCAGGTTTAAGATAACACTGTAGTCAAAAGGTCCAGTTCAGTGGTCAAATGCCAGAAGTTCAATTAGCAAAGTCCAGGGATCAAGAGTCTATACCATAGTCAAAAGCCAGTCCAAAGATTCAAGGTTCCAGGGTTCAAGAGACAGGTCAGGATATCGAAAATCCACAAACCTGGGGGAAAACCAGCAGCATCTTCCACCAAAATAAGACAAATACTTCTCTCCTAAAGATCAGTCCCAAGGCTAGCTCATTATATCCAGAAATACCCAGCTGCAGCCTATCTCTTGCATATCTCCACCCTTAATTGCTTTCACCCATGAAAGCAATTAAGTATTTGTACTTTACCCTTCAGAACAAATACTTACATTAACCCTTCCATCACCAACAGCTAGGCCTACCACCACCAACCACCAACAACTGCAGAATATGATACATGACAGGATACAATTTAATGTTGAATTGGACATCAAGTAATTTAATGGTGTTCGGTCATATTCAAATAACTATGGTACAGTAGGGAACAAATCCCACATAGATACAGGAACCTTACCATAGAAATCTGGCTACCAGTATTAAAAAACTCTAAAATTAAAACAGCAAAACAGCAGGGGGAAAATAATCAGGGACATCTAATCACCTCTCAACAAAAGATTGCTCCAGGCACTTCCAGGCCATCTAATACTAATCAAGGTGGTCAGTTGAAACATTCACACCTAGCTCCAGCAGACAAGAGTCCTTTGTCCCACCCTGGTCATTCCACAGATATATATAAACCCTTTTTCCTAGTTCCAACAGACCTCACTACCTCTGAGGATGCTTGCCATAGATGCAGGCAAAATGTCAGGAGAGAATGCTGTTAGAACATGGCCATATAGCCTGAAAAAACCTACAACAACCCAGTGATTCCGGCCATGAAAGCCTTCGACAATACATTTTACTGTGGTTACTTTCTGCATAAACCAAAACTGACTTTTGATAAGCATATTGTTTGCCTCTTCTTTCTCCCTCTCTCCTTAAACTCCAGAACCATCAGGCTCAGAGTCCCAAGGCAAAGGGAGCATGTCCGAAGACGACTTCATTAGTGCCGTTAGAGAGGCCAAAGGCTTCTCCAGTGAAAGCTCTGAAGGCCAGAGATCTCCAACTGTTGCACCTGGAAAACCGGATCCTAAAATCAAGATGCCAGAACGTCCATCTGGTGGGCCTCCTTTGGATAATGAAGTAAGTAGCGCTGAATCTGGTGATTCCGAGATTGAGCTGGTCTCAGAAGACCCACTAGCTGCAGAAGAGGTTCTCCACTCAAATTACATGTCCTTCAGCCATGGTGGAGGACCTCCTCCTTCCCCAGCATCTCCTTCGATACAGTACAGCATCCTGAGGGAGGAACGTGAGGCTGAACTGGACAGTGAACTCATCATTGAATCATGCGATGCTTCCTCAGCCTCTGAGGAAAGTCCAAAGCGGGAGCATGATTCGCCTTTGATGAAGCCTATCATTATGGACATAATACAGGAGGAAAACTACTCCAGAAATGAAAGTGTTGGGGCCTCCAATTACAAAGTCAGTAGCTTGAAGGAGAGCAGGATGAACAAGGAGAACCTGGCAGACTCTGCCTCCTACTTGAAGTGCTCCTTTGGTACTTCCAAGGTTCACGGCCACCCAAGTTCCTCCTTGGCCATCGGCACTGAAGAGATAAAGGACAGAATGTCTCAGAAGAAATCAACCGAGGTGACATCTACCTTTACGGCAAGCAAACCACCATCCAAGGGCTCAGTGACTAGGAGTCCCTGGTCTGCTCCACCACTGCCATTTTTAAATAAGCAAAAAGGTAATTCTATTTATTTTTACTTTCTCTTAAATAGTGGATATAAACTGGAAGTGTGGAGATGGTTGGGAGGTATTTTCTGTCGTGGGATGTTAGAACATGAAGTGATTTATAGTTTTATTTATTTTTTATTATTTACAGCATTTATATTCCGCCCTTCTCACCCCGCAGGGGACTCAGGGCAGATTACAGTGTACACATATATGGCAAACATTCAATGCCAATTTTAACATACAACATATACAGACATACACAGAGGCTATTTAACTTTTTCTGGCTGCCAAGGGAGATGTCGCTTTCATCGTCCATCTGCGACACTGATGAAGTACTTCCGCATTCCCCGCATGCTTCCGCTGGAGTGCTCTGCCGGAGTCCTTTTTTATGGCCTCATAAATTAGTTAATTTAGCCTCCTCACACTTTAAGGTGGTACCTAATTTTCCTACTTGACAGATGCAACTGTCTTTCGGGTTGCAAAGGTCAACAACAGGCTACACAATTGGTTGGAAACCCGCTCCAACCTGGACTGGCTTCGAACTCATGACCTTTTGGTCAGAGTGATCTTAATGCAGCTGACACTCAGCCAGGTGCGCCACAATCCCTGTGCAAATCACAATCTTCCTGAACTACTGCAAGCTGGATAATATTAAGTGTCCCAGAAGCAAGAAAAATAAAGCAGACTACTTTCATAGCAAAAACATGCTTAAACCTGTCCTAACATCCTAACAGTGAGTGCTGTTCAGCAGTGGAACTCTCTGCCCAGGAATGTGGTCAATGCTCCTTCTTTGGAAGCTTTTAAGCAGAGGCTGGATGGCCATCTGTTGGGGGTGCTTTGAATGTGATTGTCCTGCTTCTTGGCAGAATGGGGTTGGACTGGATGGCCCATGCGGTCTCTTCCAACTCTTTGATTCTAAGATTCTACACTAGGATACACTAGGAAACACTCCTCATGATATACTCCATGCAGGGAGTGGCTCAAGCTTAACTGCTTAATTGTCCAGGTGTTCTTCCTCAACACGCACCCATACAGGCAATGATCCTTGTAAAAACTTAGCATACTTATGCACATTCTGTAATAAGGTCTCTTTCAACTCTATGATTCTATGATTCTTACTTTTCTTTGTGCCAATCTAAATACAGGCTTTATCATTATTTCCCATCAGGTCAATTAATGACAAATACTGTATTTAGATTGGCACAGGTCAACTGGAGCCCCCAGTGGCGCAGTGGGTTAAACCCCCGTGCAGCCAGGACTGAAGATTGACAGGTCACAGGTTCGAATCCGGGGAGAGGCGGATGAGCTTCCTTTATCAGCTCCAGCTCCTCATGCGGGGACATGAGAGAAACCTCCCACAAGGATGATAAAACATCAAATCATCCAGGCGTTCCCTGGGCAATGTCCTTGCAGATGGCCAATTCTCTCACACCAGAAGCGACTTGCAGTTTCTCAAGTCGCTCCTTACACGACAAAAAAAAATCAGGTCAACTTTGACTTATGGGAAATTCTATAAGTCAACACTATGAATGAAGGACCTTCAGGAACCCAGTCATCAACGGCCCTGCTCAGGCCTTGCAAACTCTGGGTTGTGGGTTTATTTATTGAGACTGCCTCGCACATTAGCAAATAGGACAGCCTCAGTTTGGTAACCTTAGCCTCTGATGAGAAATCAGGATTTATTTGTTCTGAGACATATTCGTATATCCATTTATCAGTCCATAATTTTTTCTCCATCATGACATTTCAAATGAATCCGTTTCCTTTCTGCCCATTTTCTAGCTTTCACCATCACACACGGCGCACCATACATACCATTTTAAAGAGGCATTTGGTCTATAAACTGTGATGGGAAAAACAAGCCGTATCTGTGATAGATTTCCCCAAAGACCTTGTTTCATTATTTTCTAACACAGTTTCCAGCGCTTTTCTTGGTGTTCAGCAACCTCCTTTGTCAGCTTACCTTGGTATGAAGCCAAGATGAAAATGAATATGTGTTCTTCAATAGAGAAAGGAAGAAAGAACGAAAGAAAGGGGAAGAAAGCCCTTTGTATCCCCACGAAAGCCTTAGCAAATCATGAGAATGTAGGCTAATTCACTAGTCAGAGCTTAATAATTGTTATTGTTTCAGCATAGTTAGGGATTTTCCCCATTTTGTTTCAACTTTCCAAAGCTGGGAAATAAGACCTTTTCAAGAATTTGAACGCATAACAACAGCAGCATGTGAAACAGAGGGATTGGGTGGTTGTGGGTTTTCCAGGCTGTATGGCTGTAGCAGTAGATAGGGCGACTAAAATGATCAAGACCTATGAGGAGCGGCTTAAGGAGCTGGGCATGTTTAGCCTGAAGAAGAGAAGGCTGAGAGGAGATATGATAGCCATGTATAAATATGTCACAGGGAGGAAGGAGCAAGCTTGTTTTCTGCTTCCCTGGAGACTAGAACGCGGGACAATGGCTTCAAACTACAAGAAACGAGATTCCTTCTGAACATGAGGAAGAACTTCCTGACTGTGAGAGCCGTTCAGCAGTGGAACTCTCTGCCCTGGAGTGTGGTGGAGGCTCCTTCTTTGGAAGCTCTTAAACAGAGGCTGGATGGCCATCTGTCAGGAGTGATTTGAGTGCAATATTCCTGCTCCTTGGCAGGGGGTTGGACTGGATGGCCCATGAGGTCTCTTCCAACTCTGTGATTCTATGATTCTAAGAGAGATAATACCAAGAGTGATCCTTTTTGGGCGACCGAAAAGTACATTTTTATTTTCAGCTGAGACCCTGGCATGGAATCTCATCCAAAAGTGAACCAGAGTGAGGATAAAGGCATTGACTTTCCTTTTTATAAATCTTCAAATGCAGGCAAACAAAGAAACGTGCTTCTACATACGTAACATCATCACTATGTCACTTTAAGCATCATAGAAATATCAAATTATATATTCTGTATGCAAGCGGCATGTTGTCATATTTTTTCTAAGGAGTAGCTTACAGCAAGTTAGAGTTAACTAGAATTCAGCTTACACAGATCCATCAGGGGCCTACTTTTGACCTGTCAGGAGGGAGGGAGAGAAACTCCTTACTTTTAGAAGTAAGAAGGTATGGCCTGTGTATGGCCGTTCAGCAGTGGAACTCTCTGCCCCGGAGTGTGGTGGAGGCTCCTTCTTTGGAAGCTTTTAAACAGAGGCTGGATGGCCATCTGTCAGGGGTGCTTTGAATGCAATATTCCTGCTTCTTGGCAGGGGGTTGGACTGGATGGTCCATGAGGTCTCTTCCAACTCTTTGATTCTATGAAACTGTGCATCTCCAGGTGTTTTGAACTTCAGCTCCCAGAAATCCCATGATTCTATGATAAGCTGTACCAGTGTCTGTGTATAGATAACATGCCCCCCTTCTCCTCCCCCTTTCAACACAGATCTCCTTCAGCATTCTTTCTGGCCTGTGAGCTTGGCTTTCTAATACAGAGAGAACCTGATATTTTCTACATTTCAGTGCTTGTAATGTATATAAAATATATGCATAAATATTTATATTTCCAATGTCACCACATCACCGGGGGCGGCTCAACCCATTACGCAACGTAAGCATTCGCAGTATAGTTGATTTTGCCCAGGGACGCTCTTGAGGCGCTCTTGGGGGAAAATAGACCTTGACACATGCAAGTTGTAGTTACTGGGATGTATAGTTCACCTAAAATCAAAGAGCATTCCGAACTCCACCAATGATGGAATTGAACCAAATATGGCACACAGAACGCCCATTACGAACAGAAAATATATATCAGTGATTGGTTTGGGGGGGGGTTGGCAAAATGCTGCTTGCTTACTGTTGAAAATTACCTAGGACCACCTCTGCACATCACGGCCATGTTCCAGAAGAACATGGCCATATAGCCAGGAAAACTCACAGCAACCCAGTGATTCCGGCCGTGAAAGACTTCAACAACACACATGGGATTGGTTTATCACTCTTTCATGCTGCTCTCTTGAAAAAATGAGAGTCTTTCATGGATGTGTACAGTTGTTGTTGTTGTTGTTGTTGTTGTTGTTGTTGTTGTTGTGTGCTTTCGATTCTTTGCCAACTTATGGTGACGCTAAGAGCATTTTCTGAGGCTGAGAGTATGTGACTCACCCAAAGTCATTCTTTGGATTTTTTTTTGTTTATTTTATTTATTATTGACTTTATTTATATCCTGCTCTTCTGACCCTTGCTGGGGACTCAAAGTACTGTACAAAATGGCAAGATTCCATTGATAAGCAGGGAATCAAACCCTGATCTCTAGAATCATAGTCCAATGTTCAAACCACTATGCCACACTGACTCTTTACCATGAATCAAAGCTGACATGAAAGCCCATAGCAACAAAAAGGACATTTCACGACTGCAAAATATCTGCACTTTAAAGCAGACTTGAGCCTTCTTTCTCTTTCCTTAAGCATATTGAGAACTGTAGTTCATTTTCAGGGTTTCCTCCTTTCTGTTGAAATTATCCAGATGATTGTGGATTTCAATGTCTTCTCTGTGTAGTCTGACATGGTGGTTGTTACAGTGGTCCAACATTTCTGTGTTCTCAAATACTATGCTGTGTCCTAAAACCAGGGCAGTAAATAAAGAACAACACTAAAAAGACAGTGAGACAACTAGAGCCAGTTAACATATCCCAACAAAGGAATTCCCGAAGCAGGAAGCAGCCAGGCTTTGAAACTGCAAGACTATTCAATGCTAATCAGTTTGGCCAATTACAATATTCATAGTTGCCTCAGGCAGACAAGAGTTCTTTCTCCCACCCTGGACCTTCCACAGATATATAAACCTTACTTGCCTGGTTTCCAGACCTCACAACCTCTGAGGTGCCTGCTTTAGATGTGGGTGAAACATCAGGAGAGAATGAAAGTGTATTAATGTAATCTTGTTGTTGTTGTTGTTCATTCGTTCAGTCGTCTCCGACTCTTCGTGACCTCATGGACCAGCCCACGCCAGAGCTCCCTGTCGGCCGTTACCACCCCCAGCTCCCTCCAGGTC